AATCTAACTGACCAGGGAAGAAGCTGACCAGTGTCAGACATGCAGACCCCACAGCTTCTAATAACCGAGGGGACGGGAATCCCTTAGCCAGCGAGGTCACCGTCTCGTAATTCTCCTGCATGACGTCCCTGTAGAAGGCTCTCTGAGCGGGATCCAGCAGAGCCCCCTGCCCCTGGGTGAAATACACAGCCACCTCCTCGAAGGTCACCGGCACCTGAAACAACAAAGAGTCCTGCACTGAGTACCTGCTGCCCCAGTCAAAATCCGACTAGTCCAGGGGTGGGGAAACTTTTTGGCCTGAGGGCCACATCGGGATTTGGAAACAGTATGGAGGGCTGGGTAGGGAAGGCTGTGCCTCCCCCAAACAGCCTGGCTCCCACTTCCTGCCCTGTGACTGCCCCCCTCTGAACCTCCGACCCATCCAATCCCACCTGCTCCCTGTCCCCTGACCTCCCCATCCCAGGAACCCCCCGCCCCTAACCGCCCCTCAGGACCCCATGCCCTATCCAATTCCCCCTGTCCCCTGAGTGCCCCGACCCCTATCCACACCCCCACTCCCTGAGCCCCCCTGCCACTTATCCAACCCCCCTCCCCGCCCGCTTACCATGCTGCTCAGAGCACCAGGACTGGTAGCCATGCCATCCGGCTGGAGCCAACCACACCACCACGCAGTCTAGAGCGCTGGCAGCATGGTGAGCTGAAGCTGTGGGGAAGGGCGGACAGCAGGGAAGGGGCCTGGGGCTAGCCTCCCTGGCCGGGAGCTCAAGAGCCGGGCAGGACGGTCCCGCAGGCCGTAGTTTGCCCACCTCTGCACTAGTCACAGGGAAAAATAAACAAAACAGTGAAGCTCTGGGAGGGTTGAAGAAACAGAATCCCTTCCCCCCCCCCACTCCCTGCACCCTGCTTAGAGCAGCCAGGAGACTTCAGGGGGTGAGGAGAAGGTGAGAGCTGCTTGTCCCCCACAGCACACAGAGTAGAACAGGGTTTTCTCATTTCCCACACGCCTGACAGCCACAGGTTGATACAGGAATCAGAGCTCTGAGCCTTGACAGCTTTCCTTCATATTTCACAGCAGCCTCTGGCCAGTGGGGTGTTTCCTGGATCAGAAATGGGGGAATGTCCCCCCTGCTCCCCCGCCAATGGTCCTGTTCACAAAATCTGGCCCAGGCTGGTCATGTTCCAACCGGTTTATCACACCCTGTCCCCTCCCCACCTCACACTGTGTGTTTACTGCCCCTCCCCCTATACAGCAAATCCTCCCCACCCCCCCACATCTCCCTGCAAATCCCCTACCTGAGCTGTCTCTATCACAGCCATTTCCTTTCCCTGTTTCCTGGAAGATGGGACCATCTGGAGCGAAACATGGATGTGATTCCTCAGCCTGTTGGGGTGAAAGGGGTGATGGGGGAGGTTACGGAAGGGGCTTGAGTCCATGTCCCCCCCCGCAGACAGATGCTCTGGGCTCTGCCGTGCTGGGAAAACCCTCAGTCACTTTACCACAACA